CTGTACTTTGTTTATTAAAAATTATTTAATTATTCAAAAAATAATACCATTTGTTAGTACTACTATTAATAATACAAAATATATTACAACATAAGTTAGAAATATTTTAATAATATAAAAACTTATAATACCAAATTTATTGCCAAAGAAATAGATTCATATTTTATTTATGTAATACTGTACCTGTATAGTTAGTGCAATTGGGTTATTTACAAAAAAAATCTGATTTAATTATTAAAATATTGATAAATTATTTTCTATTAAAACTTAACTGTGCCTATTAATTATTAATCAATATCTAATTAGCAATAGGGTGGTATTGTTTATTACTAAATTAAATATTTTACAGAATATTCTTGTATTACATTGAAATCCGCCTTAAATATCATTTTAATTATGTTTTTGTATATTATATTAAAACAATATTTATTGCCATAGAAATGACATTTGAGAAGTGTTTGTGTCCTTTTATCCTATTTATTATTTTGCATTATAATTAATCTACCTGTACAAGCAACAAGCTATTACAATAATATAAAAGCAATAATATATTTTCAAAAAACTTATTATTTTATTAAAACATGAAATGATATAATGGCCAGTATATAAAGTAAATTTTTTAAATTTATTAAAGTTACTTCAAAAAACAATAGTCACAATGTTTTGTGCAAAGGTTATCAATTTTATCTCTGTATTCATCTCATACTTTAAATTCATTGCAAAAGTATTGGGATTTTTACTGTTAATCTATACGGTACTGGGACTCGTAAAAGACTACTTGTGTTATCCCTATACCTATAGACTCAGTATTAAGCCGTCGTATAGATTAGATGTACCGCTGATTACTTTCTGTACGGAAAAGGATGTGTTTTTTGACAAAACCAGAATTAATTCATACTTTAACATAAGTCGTGAATACGAGGTGAACAAGCAATTGGCTGAAAAGAACGCAATGGACCTGGTTAAACAATGCAAAACTACTTTCAAACACGATGGTAAAGGTTTGTGCAATGATTTGAATTACGCTAAGAATTACTACTCAAACCAATTTTACAAACACTATGTGAGAGAAATAATTACCAAGCAACCAGTGTATGAATTGTATGACAAGTTTAACATAAAGCCCTATGAATTGATTAAATGTTCGGCAAAACTGCATATAAGACACAAATCAACGGCTAATTCAAGCACTGATTCTCAAGTAATGACTGATTGCTCGCAAAGGTATGCCGTTTTGGAGACTATTTCTGGTAATAAGGACTTTGGGATATGTTTCACGTATTTCTATTCAAATCACGACAATCCGTATCTCATTGGCAATGACTTTATTCAGTTTGACATTAGTTATGAAACACAACGAAAGGCTCTTATAAATGGATATTTTGAAACCAATTTCGAGAAGATTAATACAATGAACACAAACCACAAACGAAACATGTTTTCTGATGACTACTTTGGTTTATATATATTTGTGAATCAAATGTCTAATCAATTAATGCCATCAAAAGAGATTGCAGTTAAGATAACGAGTGTTGGAGTCGATGGGCGCCTGGAGTTAAGCAAAACTAACGTTCACTTGCTGTCCACTCCTTACATGATGTCATGTACTTATGGTATGTCTTGTAAATTACGTATAATATTTAGATTATTTTTTAAAATTATTATTTTAGGGTCCGATTATAAATCCACTGAATATTTGACTAAATGTATTGAATCCCTGTATAATAAATCATTTGAATGTTTACCGAATCCTTACATCAATGAGAAGTTTATTCTTATGAATGCGAGTCAAACACAGTATAGAATATGCGGTAATAGTAATCAAGAATATTCTGTTAATACGGAATACTGTAGAAGTATGTGTACCAGAAATTGTGACCAGGTAATACAGTCACTTGAGCTGAGTAACACCAAATTCATAGGCTTAAGAGATAGTAAACTCAGAATTGAAAATAAAATTCATCGAGAAACTCATTACCGTTCACAACCAAAGTATTGTTTGTTTGATATAATGCTACAACTGGGAAGTCTGTTTGGCATATGGTCTATGTTTGCTTTCATAAATACCAGTGCTGTGAGGGCTAGTATGACATCTTGTCTGAAATGTCTTATATGCGGAAAAGTTACTAACTTTTTTGAGTCAATTAAAGCATTGATTAAGAAACTATACCTAGGACAAATAATTGCGGTCATAATATCCCTAATAGTATTAATACAGATCTATATGTTAACTGAAGATTATCTGCAATTTACGACTCAAACCTCATTAGAGATCATTGATAACAAAGGCTTTGATAATAACATTGGCTATCAGTCTATGCCTACAATCACTGTATGCTATGATAACACGTTTGAAGACATTTTGTTTGATCCATACATAAAGAGTTATTTTGAAACCAATGTTTTAAATCGCGATACAATTAACACAAACTCAACTAAACCTTACAATGAAAAGATTAAGAATTATTACCAGGATTATTATACTAAACACTTACACCTGAAAAAGAAAACGGACAAGGATATTATTGAGGGATTCATTAATAAGTATTTGAATGCTAGTAATCATCAAGAATTCCGTGAAATTAAGTTTAAAAGTTATGATAATTTTATAAACTCAACACAAAATGAGCTAAACTTTTACTCGAAAATATTTACTTGTTATACAACTGGACACAAGTGTCAGGACGTGTGGAAAGTAATTAAAATAATATCACCTTTTGGCAAATGTCATACATTTATGTCAAGGTCTNACTCAACACAAAATGAGCTAAACTTTTACTCGAAAATATTTACTTGTTATACAACTGGACACAAGTGTCAGGACGTGTGGAAAGTAATTAAAATAATATCACCTTTTGGCAAATGTCATACATTTATATCAAGGTCTATGGATGATCATAATAATCAGAGTAATCAAGTTAATAGTTATTCTGTGGACAACAATAATTTAATAACTTTTGTCGAGAATCGCGGAATGGATGGCAAGTATAATAGGATTAATGCCATGAACATGCAATTCATTGTTACTTCACACAAGTCTTTACCGAAAATTATTGACAATGTCTATGAGTACACTGGTCCTATAAATCAGGAAAATAATGGCGTAATAATTAAACTAACCCGGAATGTATTCAAAAGTTTACCCAAACCATACGATACGCAGTGCTATGATTACAATGAAAATGATACACAATCTTACTGTCTCAATAAATGCTATCGACGGTCATATGATAATCATTTTCAATGTATTCCCAAGTATAATAGCTTGTTAACAATTCAGTTACACGATCATTATAATGAACCAAGTGTAACATTTTGTCGGGATGCATATATAAACAATGGCAATGATGTTAATTATAAAATGAAAAAGTACTGCCTTACGAAATGTCCAGTCCCATGTATTAGGACTACATACGGATATAAAGCTATTGAATCCACTATTAATGGATTGTCACTACCAACTGATATGATCACAAAAATTCAATTCAATGATGACTTCTATGTTAATATAAATTATTTCTCGAAAAATACATTACTTGGACTACTCATGAATATCGCAAACATATTATGTCTGTGGCGTGGGATCCGTATTATTGATAACTTTTGTCGAGAATCGGGGAATGGATGGCAAGTATAATAGGATTAATTTCATGAAAAAGAAATTCATTGTTACTTCACACAAGTCTTTACCGAAAATTACTGACAATGTCTATGAGTACACTGGTCCTATAAATCAGGAAAATAATGGCGTAATAATTAAACTAACCCGGAATTTATTCAAAATGTTACCAAAACCATACGACACTCAATGCTATGACTACAACGAAAATGATACACAATCTTACTGTCTGAATAAATGCTATCAACGGTCATATGATAATCATTTTCAATGTATTCCCAAGTACAATAGCTTGTTAACAATTCAGCTACACGATCACTATAATGAACCAAGTGTAACATTTTGTCAGGATGCATATATAAACAATGGCAATGATATTAATCATAGATTGAAAATGTACTGCCTTACGAAATGTCCAGTCCCATGTATTAGGACTACATACGGATATAAAGCCATTGAATCCACTATTAATGGACTGTCACTACCAACTGATATGATCACAAAAATTCAATTCAATGATGACTTCTATGTTAATATAAATTATTTCTCGAAAAATACATTACTTGGACTACTCATGAATATCGCAAACATATTATGTCTGTGGCGTGGGATCCGTATTATTGGCGCATTTGGCGGTCTTTTCCGATATATTTGTTTCTTTGCATTAAATGTCAAAAACAAGAAATCATTTGTTGAGAGGATATCGCAAAATAAATGCATTTGTATTATTAAGGTATGCTAAATATAATTAAACATATTTATAACTAATTCACAAATTTTATTTTTATTTTAGTATACCGTAACCGGCCTTGTAACGGTAATATTTGCATGCCAGCTATACCAAATATACATGAGTTATTTAAGATATCAGTCAGTCATTACCATTGATGTACTAAGCAATTCATGGGACAGACACTACCCGGCTGTTACATTTTCATTAAGTAATGGCCAATTACTACATCCCGAGCCATTTAACACTAAAACCTGTATTGACCCTAAAAAATGCGAAAAAAGAAATCATTTGTTGAGAGGATATCGCAAAATAAATGCATTTGTATTATTAAGGTATGCTAAATATAATTAAATATATTTATAACTAATTCACAAATTATTTTATTTTTATTTTAGTATACCGTAACCGGACTTGTAACGGTAATATTTGCATACCAGCTATACCAAATATACATGAGTTATTTAAGCTATCAGTCGGTCATTGTCATTGATGTACTAAGCAATTCAAGGGACAGACACTACCCGGCTGTTACATTTTCATTAAGTAATGGCCAATTACTACATCCCGAGCCATTTAACACTAAAACGTGTATTAACTCTACAAAATGCGAAACCAAAACCGATTCTGTATTTTACAATCACTTTAACAAAAGTAGGATTTTTATAGGCAATGAGTTTAAGAATCTCACATCAGAGTCAGTAAAATACAGTTTTACACAGACCTCGGATAGTTGGCAACAGTACATTACTATACCTAATATTAATTCACTTGTAGACACTTATGATGATAAATTTTTAACAATCAAGCTAGGTAGTAATGTGTTTATGCCTAACATATACGTTCACTCGCATACCGTTCCCGATTTGAAGGACTTATTAAATTCCCAGTTATTGACAGGTTTTAATCACACAATCATTTTGAGTAAAGTTTTGAGAGTCTATTTATCTGAACCCTACGGCACGTGTAGTTATTATGACTATAGTAGTGGTAGTGGACAGCCATTCGGTGCCATATCTCATACGAATTGTATGAGAAAGTGTACGAGATACTATTTACGCCAGTTACACAAGTGGAATCCATTAACAATAGACAACTATTTGCATGAATTGGATTTTGACGACAATTATATCAGAGATATTTATGTCAATAATGGTATGAATAATGAAATGAATAGTCTAATGAAATGGATTGCACAACAGTGTCACATATACTGTCCAAATGAATGCATAAATATTGATTACAACTCACGAGTGGTGTCAAGTGATACACAAATTGACAATGAACTTTGGTATATGCAAGATCTTGAGCACCGGTATGCAGAAAAGTCTTTGGTTTGGGACTCAAGTCAACCAATGATTGTCTATCGGGAGGAACCGGTGGTGTGTTTCTCGGATATAATGTTATACACGGGAGGGCTGTTTGGCATATGGTTTGGATTATTTGGAAAGTTCATATTCATTTGGATATTTAAGGCTAAATGTTGGGGTCATCTCAAAAGTAAAGCCAACCACAATCTCAATGATAATAAGATTCACGTTTTTGCCGAACATTAATTAGAAATTAATTTTAATTTTTTATCAAATTTAAAGAGTTTGTTAAAGATTCAAATTAATTATAATATTCACCTTTTGTTATTTAATTGTTTATTTATTCTATATAAAATGTAAACTTGTTAATTTTTAATAATTTAATGTTTGTTATCTTTTTAATGAATATTTTAAACATTTGTTCTTTGAAAATAATATAACATTTATACTATTAATAAACAAAAAAATAATTATACTATACTCGACTTCAATAAACAAAATACAAGAATATTTAATAAAATATTTTTCAGTTATTAAATATACTAGGATAATAGTGTAATCGTTAACTTAATTACAAGTTAAACACCAGAATGTATTAAACATTAACTTAATAATAAAATTATTACTAAACGAACATAAAATAATTATTCATTAGTTTATAAATTAGTGGACAAATCTATTGAATGCAGAGAAGTCTGCTTCACTAATAGTATAGAAGCGGGTGAGACATCCCTGTCCTTACTGAAGGTTAGTATGCGTCGAGACCTATGTAATATAATTATTATTTCCTAGTTATTTTATAATTTATCATCTTAAAACTTACATAATAGCCATTGTTATAATAATTAAAACAATGAATAATATAATATTAAATATTTCTAATAAAGTAAACGCTTCACAAGTGTTCGAGTGATTGACGCCATTGTATGGGTTCTGGTATTGAAATCCATTGAAATTGCTTTCATTACTATAATTGCTAACATTAATAATACTCGTAAAGTTATGAATGTATTTGTGTAAATCATATAAAGGTTGTTCAGTACCATATCTAATAGTCTCGTAATGTATGTGAAAAGTGCCCTTTAATTTACTTTTAATTATCACCTTGTCAGTTGATGAAATGAGATTGGTAATTTTTGTTTTATCTGCATTTTGTGTTAATTCCTTTAAAATTTAAATTTGTTCCCCAAAAACATCATAAATATTGATAAACCCATCGATTGATTCAAAACTTTTCAAATGCAGTCTTATGGCATGATTGTGAGCCACAGTTATACTCCATTCACATTCATTAACCTGAAAATTATGTACATAGGTCACATATTCTATATCACCTGTACTACCGTTATAATGGCCAGCACGATTATATCCTTTATAAATTAAAATAAGAGTTATGTAGTAACACAAGTATTAATTAATAAATTACGAACCTCGTTCAATTGTTGTATAATTAATTTTTAAATTTCCAGTAATATTACTAAATATATGCAAATATTCCGTACTCGAAATAAAACTTTTAATAAAGGTAGCAAACCATAAAGTATTATAAACCAGGTCACGGTTAACATTTCCATCGGCTATTATTAAAAGTCCGGTGGAGATACCCAACTCTTGTACTTTCATTTCAATACTATGATTGTGATCAGGGGCAAATATAAGCCAGTTGCACTCATTATCATAATAATTATCGTTCGAGTTTAAAGTAATAAAACCTGTTGGATCAATTAAGTGTTGCTAGAAATTTATAGGATCTATATCACAAATATAAAATACAGTACTTATTATACTAATAATCTACTTTCTAAACTTTATTAAAATATATTTTATAGTTAATGAATTTTATTATCACATATTATAATCAATAATAATAACAACATCATATTATAATTTACAATTTAATTAAACCCAGAATTATTTTATATGTAAATTAAGTTATATTACAACAGAATTCTTATTTTATAATTAACATATTTATTATAATAGTATAATGCTGAACTTTGTTTATTAAAAATTATTTAATTATTCAAAAACTAATACCATTCGTTAGTACTACTATTAATAATACAAAATATATTACAACATAAGTTAGAAATATTTTAATAATATAAAAACTTATACCAAATTTATTGCCAAAGAAATAGATTCATATTTTATTTATGTAATACTGTACCTGAATAGTTAGTGCAATTGGGTTATTTACAAAAAAATCTGTTTAATTATTAAAATATTGAAAAATTATTTTCTATAAAAACTTAACTGTGCCTATTAATCAATATCTAATTAGCAATAGGGTGGTATTGTTTATTACTAAATTAAATATTTTACAGAATATTCTTGTATTACATTGAAATCCGCCTTAAATATCATTTTAATTATGTTTTTGTATATTATATTAAAACAATATTTATTGCCATAGAAATGACATTTGAGAAGTGTTTGTGTCATTTTATCCTATTTATTATTTTGCATTATAATTAATCTACCTGTACAAGCAACAAGCTATTACAATAATATAAAAGCAATAATATATTTTCAAAAAACTTATTATTTTATTAAAACATGAAATGATATAATGATCAGTATATAAAGTAAATTTTTTAAATGTATTAAAGTTACTTCAAAAAACTATAGTCACAATGTTTTGTGCAAAGGTTATTAATTTTATCTCTGTATTCATCTCATACTTTAAATTCATTTCAAAAGTATTGGCATTTTTAGTCTTAATCTATACCGTACTGGGACTCGTAAATGACTACTTGTGTTATCCCTATACCTATAGACTCAGTATTAAGCCGTCGAATAGATTAGACGTACCGCCGATCACTTTCTGTACGGAAAGGGATGTGTTTTTTGACAAAACCAAAATTAATTCATACTTTAACATAAGTCGTGAATACGAGGTGAACAAGCAATTGGCTGAAAAGAACGCAATGGACCTGGTTAAACAATGCAAAACTACTTTCAAACACGATGGTAAAGGTTTGTGCAATGATTTGACTTACGCCAAGAATTACTACTCAAATCAATTTTACAAACGCTATGTGAGAGAAATAATTACCAAGCAACCAGTGTATGAATTGTATGACAAGTTTAACATAAAACCCTATGAATTGATTAAATGTACGGCAAAACTGCATACAATACACAAATCAACGGCTAATTCAAGCACTGGTTCTCAAGTAATGACTGATTGCTCGCAAAGGTATGCCGTTTTGGAGACTATTTCTGGTAATAAGGATTTTGGGATATGTTTCACGTATTTCTATTCAAATCACGACAATCCGTATCTAATTGACGGCGACTTCATTCAGTTTGACATCAATTATGAAACACAACGAAAAGCTCTTATAAATGGATATTTTGAAACCAATTTCCAGAAGTCTAATACAATGAACACAAACCACAAACGAAACATGTTTTCTGATGACTACTTTGGTTTATATATATTTGTGAATCAAATGTCTAATCAATTAATGCCATCAAAAGAGACTGCAATTAAGGTAACGAGTGTTGGAGTCGATGGGAGCCTGGAGTTAAGCAAAACTAACGTTCACTTGCTGTCCACTCCTTACATGATGTCATGTACTTATGGTATGTTTTATAAAATACTTATAATATTTTGATTATTTTTTAAAATTTTTATTTAGGGCCCGATTATAAATCCACTGAATGTTTGACTAAATGTGTTGAATCCCTGTATAATAAAACATACAAATGTTTACCCAATCCTTACATCAATGAGAAGTTTATTCTCATGAATGCGAGTCAAATACAGTATAGAATATGTGGTAATAATACTCAAGAATATTCTGTTGATAAGGAATACTGTAGAAGTATATGTACTAGAAATTGTGACCAGGTATACCAGTCACTTGAGCTGGGTAACACCAAATTTATAGGCTTAAGAGATAGTAAACTCAGAATTGAAAATAAAATTCATCAAGAAACTCATTACAGATCACAACCAAAGTATTGCTTATTTGATATAATGCTACAACTGGGAAGTCTGTTTGGCATATGGTCTATGTTTGCTTTCATAAATACCAGTGCTGTGAGGGCTAGTATGAAATCTTGTATGAAATGTCTTATATGCGAAAAAGTAACAAACTTTTTTGAGTCAATTAAAGCATTGATTAAGAAACTTTACCTCGGACAAATAATTACGGTCATAATATCCCCAATAGTATTGATACAGATCTATATGTTAACTGAAGATTATCTGCAATTTATGACTCAAACCTCATTAAAGATCATTGATAACAAGGGCATTGATAATAACATTGGCTATCAGTCTATGCCTACAATCACTGTATGCTATGATAACACGTTTGAAGACATTTTGTTTGATCCATACATTAGGAGATACTTTGAAACCAATGTTTTAAATCGCAATACATGTAATATATTTTGTATTATTAATAGTAGTACTAACAAATGGTATTATTTTTTGAATAATTAAATAATTTTTAATAAACAAAGTACAGCATTATACTATTATAATAAATATGTTAATTATAAAATAAGAATTCTGTTGTAATATAACTTAATTTACATATAAAATAATTCTGGGTTTAATTAAATTGTAAATTATAATATGATGTTGTTATTATTATTGATTATAATATGTGATAATAAAATTCATTATCTATAAAATATATTTTAATAAAGTTTAGAAAGTAGATTATTAGTATAATAAGTACTGTATTTTATATTTGTGATATAGATCCTATAAATTGCCAGCAAAACTTAACTGATCCAACAGGTTTTATTACTTTAAACTCGAACGATAATTATTATGATAATGAGTGCAACTGGCTTATATTTGCTCTTGATCACAATCATAGTATTGAAATGAAAGTACAAGAGTTGGGTATCTCCACCGGATTTTTAATAGTAGCCGATGGAAATGATAACCGTGACCTGGTTTATAATACTTTATGGTTTGCTACCTTTATTAAAACTTTTATCTCGAGTACCGAATATTTGCATATATTTAGTAATATTACTGGAAATTTAAAAATTAATTATACAACAATTGAACGAATGACCTGGTTTATAATACTTTATGGTTTGCTACCTTTATTAAAACTTTTATCTCGAGTACCGAATATTTGCATATATTTAGTAATATTACTGGAAATTTAAAAATTAATTATACAACAATTAAACGAGGTTTGTAATTTATTAATTAATACTTGTGTTACTACATAACTCTTATTTTAATTTATAAAGGATATAATTGTGCTGGCCATTATAACGGTAGTACAGGTGATATAGAATATGTGACCTATGTACATAATTTTCAGGTTAATGAATGTGAATGGACTATAACTGTGGCTCACAATCATGCCATAAGACTGCATTTGAAAAGTTTTGAATCAATCGATGGGTTTATCAATATTTATGATGTTTTTGGGGAACAAATTTAAATTTTAAAGGAATTAACACAAAAT